CACCATCCTACTTCCTTCCTTTCATTGTTTTATTATTTCATGATATTTGAGTTACTTTTATGAGTTAAGAACAGGCATCTTCCTGGAGACAGTGAGATCATAGCTCCTTGGATTTACATTTTATCAATCCACATTTTAAATAGTTTCATGCAGTCACAGACAAAATAAACACTCAGACTTTGTTGTACACGTACATGCACCATCCTCTCTCTCTTAATGTTTCCCCCATAGATCTAGTACGACTCACTTCCTCAAGAGAGAGGATGAATTGTACCATTCTTGGCAAAGTGCATCTTTATAGTCACATACTTCCATGAAGGTGAGACTCAAAGAAGGATGATAGAGCAGCAGAATGTTTTAGAGTTTAGTATCAGAGGTAAGGTAAAGAAAATTTTTTCCACAGCTGCTGTAAAGCTGGTCCTTGGTTATGAAGCTCATCAGAGTTGCTCTGTTTTGTATTACGGATTTAGCTATGGAGAGTTATGGATAGGGACATTAGCCTCCTCTCACCCACATTTCCCTGTGTGCCTTAATTGAGGGCCTGCTTGGAAGCTAGATGAAGCTAATAGTGATGCTGTATGTCTTGGAAACTCCATCTCTGCTTTTTCACGCCTATATCCTGTACCCCAGCAGTCACTGTCATGATTACCTGCTGGTCCAAGAGAAGGATTTGGCTTTTTCTTCATTCCTAGAACTGTAACAAGCTGATATGTCTGTTCCTTCTTTATTCCTTCTCTACCTCTTCTTCCATTTCTATTTCTCTCTAGAGGGTCCTGAATTATCGATTAGGGCTTGGTTTAATTTGCAAGTGAATGAAGTGGCTTGCAGCAATGGGGAAGTAACCCTTAGCAAGTAACCAATTGTTCAGAGTGAAGTTGCAGTCAGATGAAAGAAGAAAGGTTATTGTATCATCTGCTGTGATTAGTTTTATTAAGTTATAGAAGGAATTCAGAATTGGCTGCTTACTGGCACTTATGAGAAACATCTCATGAAAGACAAGTTATTTCCTCCTGGAAAGATAATATGAAAAGTTTATGTTCTGAGAACGGAGGTGCTCAGGTTGAGATTTACATCTGTAAATTCCAAATGTGGTCCTAAAAATCCCAAATCCTCTGAGGACTCAAAGCCACATAAGAGCCAAAATACGTTACTTTGAAAGATGGTCGAAGATTTCATTCCCATGGTGTCCATGGTAGAACACAGAGAACATGGATTTCCTTAAATGATTCCTGAGCACTGCTATTGCTGTAAGCGACTGCACGATCATCGTGCTCTTTGCAAATCAAATGCTCTTTCCAGGATTGCCTGGTGCATGAACAAATCTGAAAATAAATTCAGATTTCTCGACAGTCCTTATTTTCTGGCGCTTCATTCAGTGAGCCTGCGATGTTACTAGCTAGCTTTTTGTTCCAGAGATACTGAGCTTTGTATAACTAAGGGTAAGTATCTGACCTCTGACATCACTCCCACAGCCAAAGCAGTAATATTTGTGAAACTCCTCTTTTCTTTTTTTTTTTTTTTTGATATCTATAAAGAGATAATAACACGAGTAAGATCTCTTTGTATTTTGGGGAAAGGAATGAAGAGGGGATTCTTACATGAACTGACATTTTTGAACTTTTGAATAGGATCTTTTTCAGTAGAGTTACTTGTTATGGCTGCCGAACCATGGTCAGGGACAGAGGCAGTGGTGAACTGAATGTACAGGATAGACCTCCCCAGCTGCCCTCCCCAACATTACTCCTTGCATTGAGTCACTTACTACCTGTTGTGAAGCAGTTTGTGCCTATCTCCCTCCATCCAGTGCACACAAGACCTGCTGCAGTACTGGGGTGAGAACCCTTGAGGCATCTGCAGTACCAAGAAGGGAAATGGTGCAGAGAGCTAGAACCTGCTCCTGGTTGTCTCTGTGGCCCTTCCCACTCTACTACCACACAGTGCATCTGGATGGAGAACTAGGGTTGCAGGATCACCTCCATCAGGGGACACAGGCAAACAGCACAGTGCCACTGTCTCCCTCTGCCTGTTCTTCCATTTCATGTCCCATTTCAATCTATAGGCATAGTCTGACTTTCATATATCAAGAGTAGGAGGTGAATAATAAAGACTCTGTTGCTACTGAGCTTCTTTTTCTTCAATTTTGAAGTTTCTTTAATTTGGAAGTAGTCACAACACATTCGGGACTCTGCCCATGCCTCAAGCCTTCTGCTAAGCTGGTTTCATTCAAGAGGTGGTTGTGTTGCCACCCTTCCTCTCTCAGCCACTCTGCCCACTGCAGCACCAGGTCCACCCACTATACCAACATGCATCCTCGACGATGCCGTTGAGTCAGTTCCTGTTCATATGGTAGAGCGCTGTTCTCGGGAGTGTGCTGTATTTACTCTGACCAAAAAATACACCTTCTTTATTTTCCATTCTTTTTTTTTTCCTTCCATTGACTCAGATGTCTAGAGTCCACAAAGGGCAAAATCAAGGTGGGACAGCCCTTCTTCCTGGGGGGCTCTTCCCTTCCCAACCCCAGTGGGATTAAAGTGTTGACTATTTCACAAAGAGATCCATTCACAAGATCAGTTTTTTCTCCCTGACTGAAATTTCAAGCCTAAAGTCTTCAGTAATTGTCAATGCAACCAAAATTGGCTCTCGTCTGAAGTCTGTGATTTTCCTCAGTCCTTTGTGATGGAAATTTTGGGACCCCAAATTCCCTTATAGTCCTTTCATCTGATACACTACAGTGGAGCAATTCCTTTCCACTGAGCAGGACGGGAGAGGAATGGCACTCGAAGGGTGCACTATGGGGTCTCTTCTAAGAAATTTGGGCAACTATTTTTGGATAAAAACTCCATTTTCAGTGATGAAAATATGTGATAAATACTTGAGAGTATCTCAAAATGTATTTAATCTGTGATTATTCAGCAAATAAACTGAAAAAGACTGTATGTTTCTCAAAGTTTGACTGAAGTATTTTGGGTTTGCCACTTACACCACTGGCTTTTTTCCTCTCTCTACCGCTCTTTAGAAATGTTTTGCTTTGCTTTAAATGTTGAGAAAACTCTGAAAATAACAGAAATACTTTTAGTTTGACTTAACTTAAACATTGAAATTAAATCTCCTCCTCCTAAAATGACTTATTTCCAATTTGCCAACACACAGCTGAGGTGCATGACAGCAAAATAAGGGCTGAACTCAAAAGGAATCTTTCCTGGTCTTTTGTATTATTTATCAAAGTGAAAAATGGTTCCCCATCATGTTGTCCCAGCACCTAGACATTGTGAAAGAGGAAAAACAGAATCCTGTCATGGCATCTTGTGATGAATCCAATGCCTTAAATCCCTTTTCACTTGTGATGCACTAAAACCAATCATCATATGAGGTGCAGGGCAGTAGCATCCCTGGTATATTTAAGTCAGGGCTGTTCTCTATAGGAAAAAGCTTTGTAGGTTTCAGTACCTCTCCAGATTAATACTTCTAGCCCAGTTTTCAGTGTTTATATCTTTTATTTTTATAAACTTGGTTAAGCAAAGAGGTCGCATTCAGTCTTGGTGTTCAGTCCTATGAACTCACTAGCACTCCTCATCAAGGAAACTGGCAGTGGGGGATGGATATTAGGAGTTATTATCCTTCCTTTCCTTTCTCTTCCCACCCAGGAAAGTGATGCGATTTGATTCACTTGTAAGGTCACCTGTGTAAGCTTGGAAACCCTGACATGCTGATATACCTAATACTTTGACCTGCAAAGATTTTTCCAGATACTTTCTACAGATGTTGTGCATCTGCAAGCTGTTTCTGACCCATTGTGTATGACTTGTGACATTTTTTACCACAAATATTTTATTGATTTCTAAGAATCGAAATCCTAAAGTGATACAGTGAGCAGATTGGCAAAATTAATTAGCAACTCCATTATCCAACATCTTCTCTCTCTACAGGAAGAGAGCTGGTTCTGGAAGAACAGCTGAGAAGGCATGGTTTTGCCATAGTTCACAGAAATTGGCTCCTCTGACTGCATAGGATTTATGCTTAAATTCTAGCAAAACATCACGTGAAAATAGTGAGATTGTCCATTGTAGTTCATTGAAGGTGTGTCAGGTAAGAATGCAGTTTTTAGACGCTAAACAAGCCAGTAACTGCTGGTCCAGGTAGATTTTACCACAGGAATCTCTTCATGTCAGTTTGAAACTTCTTTTCACCTCCTCTAGGTTAGCAGCTACCACTGTGTACAAAATCTGCAGTCTGGAGGAAACCTCCGGTGAAATTAACTGTAGAGATGTGAACAGTTATGCTAGAAGGTAAGATCAGCTTCTAATATCCTTAGATGTAATGTACATGACACTTCTGACATGCATACTCCGCACAAGGCAGTATTATCACACTTCAGCACTTTTAAAGAGATATTATTGAAGTCTTTGAAATGGTAATTCTTTCCTCACAGCAACCATGAAATATGGAAATTATGTCTCACACAAGGACAATTATTTTCTGAGAAGATTGTTATCAGAAGACAGCCCTAGCTCCTAGGACAACATTTTGTCTTAACTACTTTAGGAAGTTCATAGTATTCTCCAGCACAGTACCCGCATACATATTCCATTCTCCCTCTCCCACTTCTTGTTTCACGCAGGGCTTTTCCCCCAACATGCAATTATGAAACATGTCAAGCTATTTTCTACCTCAAATTGAAGGTATTAAATCCTAGTGAAAGAAAACAAAATAAAGCTCCATTACACTAGGTCCAGTCGATCACTGATGTAACACTTCCTTTGGCTGTGCCTGATCTTCAGTGAAAGCTGGTAACTTTCAGGAGTTAAAAATATACTAGTACAAACCAGGTGAATGTGGCTGGTAGATCAACTCTGCACTGGGATATTTACTGGAGTCCACAGAAGGGTGAATGTCACCCCTGCAGCTAGGAAACTTTTCCCATTCCGCAATTTGACCTGAACATCATTTTCCAGCAAACACCTCCCTAGGGAGCAAGTAACTGTTTGACCTGCAAGGGCATTTCAGAGCCGAGTGTGGCTCTCACAGATGTCATCAGTGGACTGCCCCAGTACTGTTTCTTCTGAGACAGCCATACCTGCCCCATTGGGAACAGCATGGCTATGGTTCATGTGCTCCTCCTGGCCTTTTGCAATGACAGGGCCGTTGCTGTGAAGCAACGTGTATTTCTTCTGCACCTGCTCCAGTATCTGCAGCACCTGGAATTAGCAAATAGAGCTCTGAGTTGTTTACTGGTGAGGGGAAAGAACACATTTCTTTTCTGGCTCTTGAAATCCACCCTTTTCTTTTTCAAGCTACCTGTGTGTGTCTCTCCTTGGGCATTTCTGTCTGCTCAAAGATCTTTGGGACAGGTGTGAAAGGAAAGCCTACTCCATGGAGATCCATGAGGGATATGCTTAGCAAAAAGAGATGCAATGGTGGTCCATAGGCACAATCAGGACACAGGCAACATGAAACTGTATTTTTCTGCTCTTTTACACCACTTTATGATACCTTCTCAGGCCATCACAAATTTATTCAGCTCCTTATGGAAAAAGGGAACCCCCTGCCCAATACCCATTTAATGGAGATGGGAAAAGCAGAGAGAAGAAGAGCAAAAACAAGCTGAAGATTAATTTTACCTGAGACTTCGGGATGATACCAACCCTGAAGAAACCTATGTTTCCACTGTTGATTTTGGTGCAGTCCACAACAGTGGATGCAATGTTCTCTGGAGAAGGCCCATCACAAAGAACTGCATCCACCTGAAGAGAAGCAAATGTTCACACCAAGTTCCCTGATGGCACTTGGGAAAAAAAGATGGCAGTTTCCTCCTCTCAACAGCTGCTAATTATTATCATAGTCAGCTCTGCTCCTCCTACCCTTGCTCTGCATTGTACTCTTCACCGTATAACTACCTTAAAAATTTGATTGCACAGAGGAATGAATTAACTCAGTAAAAGCAAGGAGAGAGTTCTTTATGGGATGTAAATCATCAGCAGAGCTAGACAGATTTGCATCAGCTGAGAAGCTTTGATTAAGTTCCATTTAGAAAGCAATTGTGCAGTAAACCAGATTTTTGAGGAATTAGAGGTATATTGTCATTACTTCTTGTTTAAAGCTGGCCTCATGTGCACTGACATGAATATTCTGTCTTACGTGCACTATTCTCAGAATTTATCAGTGAAATGAATGATATCATTCGAATGATTATGACCATCGTACTTTCAGAACTTGCAAATGTTGTAAAAGACAGGAATGTGTTAAAGCTTTGATGGAAGTTTAGACCAGCTTAAGGTGGGAATCCCCAGTGTTCTGACAATTCATCACCAATGAGCTCTGTCATATTCAGGCAGTGATGGTTTTATTGCTTCTAAGCAAAGAAGCATCTTTTTGTAGTTCACGTCAATCTGTGGTGAAAGATGAACTAAATCATGGTGCCAAGCCACAATTACACTGTCCAAAACACTGTCAGTTTGGCTTTCCATCAAGTTTCTTCTTTCTCCTTAACTCTGTCATCAATATAAGGAGTGTCAGTGAGATTCTTTTAATTAGATGTTTCCCCAGATTCTTGCTGCCATTAATTGGTTTGGCTACTTGGAATAAAGTGATTTAGTTCATCCATCCCCAGCTCTTTTGGGACCAGTCTGAATAAAGATAGTCTCAATTACCTTATCTCCTAGCTTGGCATATACTTGGTTGTGATGTGTTGTGTCTGCTTCTCCTGTTGGGTTAGCTGATGTTACCACAATGGGGCCAACCTGGTGACACAAAAATGGGAAGAAGAGCTCTGAGCAGGCGTTGCTGTGTCACACAAATATCTTGTACTCTGAGGTCCACTGGTGAGTCTCCATGACTGAAAAGTGATCTCACTATGGCTCACCCAGATAGAGAAACCCATTCTGTAGATAACTGAAGCTGGAAGAGATGAATGCCAGCAAATCTGTGTATGAGTGACTAAGACTCCGCTGAATTGGGGCTTATCCAATTCCTTTATCAAAAAGGAACATTTTATTTTCAAGAGACAGCAAATATCAAAGAACATCTGGGTGTTCACCCTAGAAATCAAGTAGTGAGCTGGAGCATTACTGTAGGACTTGTAGGATACTGTAGATTCTCTAGAAAGGCCCAGAAATATAGAGATGAGTGATGGGTATGCACTGTGAGAGGAAGGTGGATTTTTTTCCTTCAAGGTAAATTTACTAGCAAACGTGTGGGGCTGTGTCCATCGCTCACTGTCACACATCTCCAGCTCCTGCTATGAGAGTAATGGCCTGGCCTTGCAATTCCTTCCTTTCGGGGCATAGCTGCAACTGGCTGAGCCGGAGATCTGCTTTTTAAAGAGAAGATCATGCAAGAAACTGCCTCTGTAAAGCAACACTACTCAGCACTCTAGACAGCATCATCAATGTAGAAACTCATATAAATCATATCTATTCATTGCATCTTTTTGTGACATTCTGACCTGGTCATCTCTCTTCTTCCATTTAGACTCCATCCTGCAATTAAATCCACTGTAGCTGCCTGCATATCCTACTCCTTCCTAATGATTTTTTTTTTTTGAGGAAGCTATTCATTTGAGCACTTTCCACTTCCCAGAGCTCTCCAAACATTACAGGATCCTCATTTCAAAGAGGCAAGAAAAAAGAGAGGAGAAGTGACTTGGCAAGACCCAGTAAAAGGACTAGCTGAGTACTTCAATCTCACCATACTTCTGTCTTCCAGCAGGCCAGAGGTCCTGGAGGCTAGAGACTGACCCCAGGACTGCCATCTAGACAGTGGAGCGGCAAGATCTGGTTGCAAGTGCTGCTGAGAAGAATGTGCTCTGACCACTCACCAAGTCAATGAGGTGTGTGGTGACAGAGCAGTCAGGAATGCGGATGGCGATGCTCTGAGGGGTACCAACGTATTTTGCAGAGTCCTTCATTCCCAGAAAGTCCACCCATTCTCCTGCACAAAGAAGAGGCACAAACTTACTGATACAAATAAGTCCAACCACAATGAATTTACCAGGAATATTGACATGGAGTATGTGGCATTGCAATCAAGTGGGAACTGTGCTGGAGTTTCAAACCCAGAGCTCTCTAGAGAGTTTGTAAGTAACAGCACTTCCTCACCTCTGGGAATAACCAAACTAATAGGAGATGGCCAGGCAGCCTCCATGAAGTCCCAGAGTAGAGGGGTGAACAAATGCTTTGCAGGTTCCAGCTGCTTCAGGCTAGAAATCCAAAGTGACATGGGACGCTCTTGTGCCTGGTGCTTGGAGCTAGAATGGAGAAAGAAAAATGATCTTGGAACTAAGCTAGGAATTTATTTTCAAGCTGAAACAGAAACTGTTGGAGGGGTCTAGTGTTAGACAATACCTGTAGGCCTTGCCCTAGGTGATCAGTCTCTGTAGTAAAAGCTGAATTTTCCCATAGATGACCTGACAGGAAAGGACATGGATGTCTATTCCCAGTTGTGGTTTTAACTCTTTGTGTAGTAATGGGTAAAAGTCAGAACTGTCCAAGTCATGAGAAATACCCAGCAATGTCAGGGATTCCAGTTGCTTACAAAAGCACAGCCAGAGACATAAAATGAGAGGTGTTTGGGTATGTGCCTATAAACAGACCCTCCCTCTTTTCTCACTTTTTGGTCTTTATGTTTCCTTGTGATATCCACCACCTGTCAATAACCTTCAATACTCCAGGAGGCAATTTCAGCTCAGCTGTCCCTTTTTCCCGTTCAGATCATCTCCCCAGACTTGTCAGCTTACTTCTCACAAGAAAACTATGTTGTGTGTCACATTTTTTTGGACAGTTGCCGTAGCCAGCATTCAGCTGTAAGTCCTAGAGGCTTCTTTATACTAGCCAAGATAGGCTACACTGGGACAGTCAGAGAAATACTTACTTGTGAGCTTTCTCCACAGCATCAGGTCTATTACAGGCTGCCACAAGCACATATACAGTATCTGTGGGGATGCCGCAGGTCCCTCCATTCTTCAGGATATCTGTTGATGTGGGAATGGGGCAGAATCCCTTAAGTCATTAGAACTGAGGGGCTTTAATTAATGGAAGAGCTGTCATAGACAGCCAATTCAGCGCTCTTATCTCTTTCTCCCAACTAACAAATTAAATTTTAGAATTCACCCAAGAAGAGATCTGACATTTGGGGGAATTCTGGGCCATGCTCAGAAGTCTTTCAGCCCTTTGGAGAGAGCAATGCACCATGCATTTGCCCATTTTTTTCTGCACAAGGTTTTCAATGGTAGCCCCAGCCTGGAGAACTTATGTGTCTTCGCCTGAATAAGCAGAGATATGATATAGGAAATGTAGCAACAAATTCAATGATAAACCAAACTTCTGCCATGGAATTTGTCCTATTCCCCCCAAAGTGTGTTTAAGTCCTGATGTCTCTGGTAACTTGGCTTGCTTGGTCAACATGGAAGGTCATATTATCCTTATATGATTATCATGGTTTCCACATTGGGACATAAAAAACTGTCCTCTTAATAATGTTTGGTTTCCAAGATCACTCTGAGCTAACCCTCCACCCACACAACAACCTCTGTACATTTCCCTTACCTGCAATTCTCTTGACTGAGGAAGCTTTTCTGGCAGGAAGATGAAGGCACTTGCTCATTCCTCCCCCCACACCACTGAGTTGCACAATGGGCCTACCCATGGGTAAGCAGGAACCTTCAAAGATGCTGTTGAAAAGGGCAGACAGGAAGCAGTAGAAGCTGACCAGGCCAAAGATGAGAGCAGCAGCAATGTCATAGCCAGCTGGAAGAGCATTGATGGCATCCAGCAAGAAGCTGATGGTGATGAGCAAGAAAGTGAGGGAGTAAAAGAACCAGGTGATGCTTAAGAAGAGTGTGCAGAAGACAATGAAGCCATTGAAGAGCATGAAAGCAACGATGCCCACTGCTGTGTGGAAGCTTCTGGTAGTGCCATAGAGGCCACCATATCTTGTCAAGCCCCAGATGATCCACATGACACCATAGAGAATGAAGGCACTGCTCTCCAGGGTTTTACCACGGGCAAAGGCCACTGAGCCACTTAGAAACTTAAGGATCCCACCAGCTACCACAACCCATGGAACTACAACAGTGGCAAGTGGAGTCTTTGGGTCCCCTGTTATCATTATAGCGAAAGAAGCAAGGACACTGCATGCATAGCCAAGTACTTCAGCATCTGCATACTTGGAATAGCCTAGATAGGGAGCGTGAAGGTCTGCCCCTTCTCGAAGCTTCAGAAAACTGCTGCGAGCAAGTAAGGCCTTCACAACACCTTTTCCTGTTGGGACTATGGCATTTTCTTTTGTATTGTACTGGTAAATTAGGGTCATCAAGGCTGTGGCCACAAAGATGGCCACATCCATGCCTTGGGGTCCTCCTTCAAAAAATCCCTTGGGACAACAAGCTATTGCAATGCAGTAAGCCACATAAAACAGCAAATACAGGCCATCCACTATACTCTTAAGCATGAGAAAGAGAGCCAAGATAGCAAAAAGAATTGCAAAAACTACCAGAAATGGAATAGCGAAAGATGGCTCCTCTGACTGCCAGATTGGATACAGAAGGCTATATCCTGCAGCAAATTTCAAGATGGAAGTAAAACCAAAGAATGTAGCCATCAGTGTATCCATGGCACGGTAGGATAAAATGCATATTCCGATCTGATAGACCCCAGAGGTCCAGAGCCAGGGCACCTGACCGATAAATAGTTTGCTTGTTACACCCAGGAGCCTACAGCCAAAGACGCTGGCAGACAGCATGTTCAAGGTCAGACCTGTGGTTGCAAAATGATTCATGCTGCCACTGGTGGACTTGACCTGTTCATGGGTCTTATTCTTAGATGGATCTGTGCCAGGAAGTACAATTTTCTCTTTGGTGAGGAAATAAAGAAACCTTCCCAGCGCAAAATATCCTCCAACCAAACAGGCAATCATGTAATTGCAAGCAACAGCAGGGGAACCAAAAGCTATGTTATAGTGCATGGCAATTTCATGAGCACTGGCAAAGGACACAGCAAAAGCAATCATAGCTAGGATGACCTCCCTGTGAAGGAAGCCCACCACTGCAATAATGAGTAGTGCCAGAGTAAATGTGACCAGGCCAGGCACCAAGGCATTGCGGAAGTCACCAGTGTCATTCAAAACTCCTTGCCCTCCTAGGATGAAGACCATTCCATAGCTGCACCAGGACACTGAGATGGTCAGGCAGAGAGACAAGAACAGGGAGGCATTTCTTAGGCTTCTCCGAATTCCTGGAAACAAATAACAATGGAAACAGAACTGTGATTTTAAGACTTCAGGTTACTGAAGACTGTACTTAGCACATGTGTCTGTGCTGTCAAGACATGGCAAGTTCATCAGAGTCCCTGGGCTGAGCTTCAGGCTCATGAGTAACTTCAACTTAACAGTACCAAGCCTGACATGCAGTCTACTCAAATGAAGCTCAGGTTCAGCAAGCTGTTACCTTCTCTTCCTTGTGATCCCTTCAAGACTCAACAACAATGTCATTAATATTTTAATACAGATCGAGTCCTGGCACTAGTTTCCTTTCGGTTGCCTAGTGGCTTGGGATTTTTTATCCAACTGCAAGCTGTCAGGTCCAAGTACATACCACAAGACTCAAACATCTTGTTGGATTTCCATAAATAATGAGCATAGAAACTGCTGAATTCAGTCCTTCTCAAGAAATGGGTTGTCCAGTATTCTCATCTCCAAAAAGACAAGGGACATTGATTCAAAACACTTCAACTCATCCCCTGGTAAGAGGCTGCTGAGTTCTGCAAATTGTGAAGACATCAACTGCCCAATAAACCCTTCCATATGGCCCCATTAATATAACTACTTCTACTCGTGTTTTGTGTCACCACCAACTGAGAAAGGAGGTTGGCCTATGCTTTACGTGTTAAAGTGTGTATTGTCTCTCCCAAGTCCTTTGCTTTGTAGGGGAAAATATCAGGACCAGTAGTGATAAGATAGCATCAAAACTTGGAAATTCATTTCCTCATTGCTGCATTCCTACAATAGGATGAGTACTTCATCGTTCAGTGTGAATTTCAATGTCATCAGTGACTTTCCCTCTCAGTTAAGTAGATCCCTTGGCATTTATACATGAACATGCTATTTTAATCCGTGGATGACTAACCCACACTTCAGAAAGCCTGGGAATAGCTTTTTAGAGAAATTATGCAACCACTCTGATGAAGTGCTCAGAGATCTGATAGTAAAGTGTTTGCTCAAAATTAACATTTATTTCATAGGTTGCATAAAGGTGTGCTGATAAATTCCTATAGGAGAATGCATCTGGTCGGGTAAGGCTGCCAAGGTTTACATAAACCTCTTGGCAAAGCAGACCTCATACTTGCGGAGCTATAGAAAGGGAGGACTCAAATCTGGCCACACTCTGAATCTTACCTGCATATGCCAAAAGAGATGATAAAATCAGCAGAAGGATTCCTAAAGCTGTGCTGGGGATGAGAGGGGCTGCTCTGCTTACAGTGTAGAAGTGCACAGTCAGTAAGAGCGATCCTGCATGTGACAAGAGGGAAAAAGAGAAAGAATTTCTAAACTTTCCTCCCAAAACAGGAAAAGGGAAAAGACAGTAAATAATCATACAAGATCTACAAATAATGAAATATAAGAGGAAGGGAGGTGTGTTACAGGTTTGTGTCTGTAGCCTCATCTCATCCTTGTCCTGGGTGCCTAGTTTTAAGAATATGAACTTAATCATCTTTGAAAATGCTTCCCCACTGCCAGATAAATAAGTTAAAATCGGTTCTCAGGTTCCAGTTACAAAAAACATATATACATGCACACTCTACAGAGGATCACATGAGATTTTTGCTTACAGAAAAACAGACAAAAATGAAAAGGGACAACACTCAAAAAGGAGAAATGCAAGAAGGAGCAAAAGAAAGTGAACAAGGAAAACAGATTCACAGGGAAGAAAGAGAAAAGGAAAAGGGAGGAAAGTGCACTCAAAAAAAAAAAAAAAAGAGACTGTATGACAAATGACTATCACAAAGTTTTGATTCGCTGCTCATCCAGGATGGAATGAGTACAAGAGCTCAAGCCAGCACTTTAAAGCCCAGATTTTATTGGCTGCTGAAACAGACAGAGGGATCTCGGGATCTCAAAGTTTCATCCAAGTAGATAGATTCGGAATAAATAGACCCTTGGAAAGGGGGTTGTCCATGCAAGCCAGTCCCAGCCCCATCCATCCATGCCAAGAAGAGTCAATCCCTACCTGCGGAAATGCCCAAGAGCCCTATGGAGTAATGCAGTGAGTCAGCTTTTCTGACTGCCATTGCGGAGTCCGCTGAAGACCCAGGTGCTGACTGAAATGCTGCCTCTCTTTCCTCCCTAGCTCTTTATAACCAAACCAACTTCACTGGCTTCTGTTCCTCCCTTCTCTCCACCCCTTTTCCCTACAAACATCTTCTGTTAGTGTTCCTCTCTGTGAGTGGGGAGGAAATGCAAACGAGTTGGTAGCTGCAATAAATTTCAGTCTGTGAGTCAGCGGGGACTGCTGGTAGCTCCCTCGAGGGGCCTTTTAATTTTACTGCTGATTAACTCTTGTTATAAAAGACACTTAAAAAATAATGTTAAGGGTTTATTGCTATTACTGCCTTTTTGCCACTGCCAGTGAGGAAATCGCACTGGTTAAAATTAAGTTTTTTTTTTTTTTTAAGAATACCTCTTGCTGGAGCAAACAAGCACTTTGCAAGCCCAGGAGCTCCTTGGGGACCAGCAATTTCTCCTTATACTGGCCATGGCCCTGCTGTTTGTCCCTGTCACAGCTATGAATGCTTGGCACCACTCTTCCATACTGGGAAAGCCCCAGGAAGATTCAGTGCTCTTCCCCTTAAAAGTGGCTTCTGTCTGTTTGCCAGTCCACCTCAATCCCATCCAGCCTCTCTGTGCACATTCCCAGGGAACTCCTCCTTGCTGCTGCGTAGGCTTCATGAGGGAAGTGTCAGTGGAAACATGAATTCTGGAGGCTGCCAGGGTGAGGATAAAATCTAGAAGAGTCTTATTGGCTTCCCAGGAGCAGTGGACCAGGTGAGGCCCTACTCCTGTGGAGGACTTGGCTCCTATGAGGGCCACTTAAAGGAAATCCTTTTCTTGGCCTCTTGACAAGGTAAGAGGCACAGAGCAGAGGCTTCATGCTGTTGGACTGGACAAGGATGCCTCCAGAGAGGCCCTACAGCAGCAAGCTTTGATGATCCTCTTGGCAAACCTGGCTCTATGTTCTCCCATAGGGCATACTTCATGGCATATTAAAATGAGTCTCAGAGCTGTAATGAGAGTAGACAGTGCTGGAGCCTGAAGCCAGGCCACCAAGTGTGACCAGGAGGCTGCTTAGGTTGCCATCCCAGATGTGTCAGATCTGCAGTAGCAGTCAGGACAATCCCCAGCTGGCAGAGTCCACTCATAATGCCAAGGGACCACACTCCTCCTGCTCTCCAAGCCAGGTAAAACACAGCAGCCTGCTCCCACTGAGCAGCTGGACACTTCTAATGGCTTGCAGACCTTCCAGGTTTCTTCAATGCTTTGGAAGACAGATGTCTTAAATTGCATTCACCTTGCAAGAAGAACTTGAAGGCAACAGGGTTCCTTCATGGTCATCCTCACTAGAATGTTGCTAGAGATTAGAACAAGATGTTAATATCTAAGCTCAGTGGCTATTTCCAGATAAATATCCAGAAAAAGTCTATTGCAGTTAGATCTTTCGGTTCCATATTCCTACTGAGATAGGTCTTGAACAAGGACCAGTAGAAAACAAGGTCTAGTACAAAACAAGAACTGGAATAATACCGTTTTGTCCAGTTACACCCAACGAGTTATTTCAGTAAGGTGAACCTGCTTAGTCAGTCGGCAACACGCAGGGCTAGACGATGTGGTTTACCACAAGCCATAAGTTTGTTTAGATCAGTAGCCTTTCACTGGCTTTGTCTCACCACCAGTGCATCTCCTCTATAACAAGATACGGGAGGAAGAAATTGTTTGTTCAACCATCAGCATGATTCAGATGGGTTTTTTTTTTTTTATAAGAGGAAATAGCAAATTTCTAAATCACACTTACTATCCCTTAGATACCAAACTAAATAGCAGGGAAAATGCTTTCAGAATTTTGCATCCCCGTCTCAGAGTTTAACTCCTTTGCTGGATAATATAAGTAATCAAAGGGAACTTCAGTTGGGCTTTTCCAAATCCTTTCTCCACCCAGAACACGTGCAGTTTTGTTCCCATTTGTAAAGACAACAGACAGGAGTATGTAGTGCCTGAAAAACTAATTTTAGGAGATGCATGTAATAAATGATGACACATGCTAATTTATCAGGCCTGCTATGAGTAAAGAGCTTGCAAAAACATTATTTCATTATGCACTGAATACACTTCATACCTTTTCCAAATATGTTAGAGACCCAAGGAAAATGACTTATAAATAAGCCCTGAAAAACATATTCCAGACATGATACATGAGGTCTGTTCTTCTCTGAAGAACAGCAAGGTAGCCTTAGCAAGCCAGGATTGTTTCAATGGTGCCAAACTGGAGTAGAGGGATTCAGAATCTTCTCAGCAGAGAACACTCCAAGGATGGGGAGAAGGACCATGAGCAAAGGAGCGCCCTCATCATGTGCCTTGCTGCCAGGTGTTTCTTAGGAGGCCAGAGTCTGCCAGTGTCCCTCCTTGCCCTGCTGTCACTCTCCTGGCCATTGCTGTTGCCTTCTTGCAGAGCTGGTGCTGTTGATTGAGCTCCAAGTTATTCACTTCTAACCCCAGGACCCAAAGGCCAGGGAATAACTACGACTGGGTGAAGACTACTCTTCAGAGACAGGGTATGAGGATAAGGACGCTTAAAGTCCAAAAAGGGAAACTTGGAGTTAAAAATGAGAAGTTGTGTGGGCAGTGTAGGGATTGGAAAGTGGGGCACAGAAAGGAAATTCACTGGCTCAAATGCTTGCTCTGGGCTGGCTCCCTGCAACATCGTCACATGTACAAAGATTTTGGTGCTTTAGTCTGGAATAGAATGGAAAATTGACAGCTGAGAAGAAGGAAAAACACAGCTGCTCTGTTGAACAGGTCATGTCAGCTGGGGATACTTTGGGGACAACGTGCTGCGAAGAAGGTCTGCAAGGGAGCTTTCAGTTTAGGAAACAAATAATATTTACATGCCCTGCCTGTGGCACTGGAAACCAAAGCTTCCTGCCAGTAAGAAGGACAGCCCAGCCCTCCTGGCCCCACCTGTGAACTTGGGGAGGGACAGTGCTATAAAAGGCTCCAGGCAGGGAACAGAGATGCACAGCAGCAAGTTGGTGCTCTCTGGGGAATCCTCTCACACTGGTGGTGGCCATGGGAAAGAAAGTGGCTCTTGTGCTGGCTGGCTGCGGAGTATACGATGGGAGTGAGATCCACGAGTCTTCTGCTGTCCTGGTGCATCTCAGCAGGGAAGGGGCACAGGTAAGAGGGTCCTTCTGCATGGCTCTACTTATCACTCTCTTGCAGAAAGGTTCTCTGCTCTCAGAAGCTTTGAGGAGCTGCCCACTGCTGCTGGGCTCACTGCAGAGCATGTGAGCAGAGTCAAGGCAAAGGGTGCAGTGCAGAAGCCGCTGCAGTGAGCGTGGAGAACTTGCTCTTTGCTTTGCTGCCACAGCGTTGCTCTGCAGAGACATTGGCAGGGTGCTCTGTGCTGAGTGTGTCCAACCTCTAAAGCAAACTTTCCTAAGCGCATTCTCTGTTCCTCTTGGCTGGTACTCCTCTTTTCTGGTATTGCTGTTTAAAAACTACTAGTGTTTTTGCCTTTTTGAAATACATTTAAAAAATCTGGCAAATTAGCTAGCTAAAATAGAAGCTAGATGAGTCCTTGTGAATTAAGCTGCAAAATGGTTTTAAAAAGACAACCCTCAAGCAGCTTGACGTGCAGTTAATCACTATAGCTGTTCTGCAAGGGGAAGAGGGAAGCCGTGTGTAACATTATGCTGAGCTCTGAGCCACCTGCTAGCCTGGGCCGAAGCCCTTCTCCTGTATTCAGCACTGCTCCACTGACTACAAAAATGCAGGAGTGATCTTAGAGCTCTGCAGAGCATGATGATCCCATCCCACAGTCTCCCGAGTGTGCATTCTCAGGCTGGGTGGGAGGTGAGATGTGTCCCATCCCTCTTCTACTACTGTATTTTTGCCTCTTTTTCCTCTTCTCTTCGAGCTTCTGCAATTTTTTCTTTCCCTTCGCAAGGGCAAGCTCATACTGCGACTGGAATGGATGTCTAGCTGATGAAACTCGGGTGTTCCCTTCCCTTCCTCCTCTATTCATCTTTTTCATTCTATTTGCTTAAAGAAACTAAGCTTGCACAGTCACGAAATCCATTGGTCTCTGCCATTCTCAGCCTTTAATTTCTGCATGTCAGCTCAAACCAGCCCCGGAGAACGGGAAGCATTTTCAAGGTAATGAAATCTACTGACGTTTGGGAAAGTGCTGACTGGAGGGAGGAACTCAAATTTGTGGTTTAAGGGAGGCATGAGATGGACAGCCACTTGTTGGGCCATCAGCAGCCACACAAGGAGTGACCAGCCTGTGGATGGGCTCATCTCCTCAGGGGCAGTGCCCAGCTAGTTGTAGGGCAGTGCTGCCCCTCACTTGGGGGTAGATAGGCCAGGACTGGGGCTGTTAAAGTGGCTTTTTGGGACACAGATAACAATGTCCAACAAAAGGAGCTTCATGCTCTTGGAGCACCTTGTTTTTTTTTAGGAGGGGAAGCAGTGGTTTCCCCCTCTCCTCAGATTCAGCCCCCTGGATAAGCAGTGGAGACGAGATTCTTGGCTTTCACCTAATATGGTTGTCCCTGCAAGGTCAGTGCAAGGATTCCCATGCAGAAGCTACAAGATTTCTCCAAGTGACAATAACCTTCCCCATGCCAGTGTTGGGTACAGGTGAGCCTGGGGGTCTCTGTGTTCACCATCAAAGCTCTTTACTAATGGGATAACTCAAGCATTTGCAGTCACTCTCTGTGGCTTTGCGACACTGCCAAGGATATGTCTCCAAAGAATAACAGATTTCACCTTCTCTTTCCAGGCAGAGGTTTATGCTCCTGATGTGGACCAGATGCATGTCGTGGACCATACAAAAGGACAGCCAACTCAGGAGAAGCGCAATGTGCTAGTTGAAAGTGCCAGAATAGCCAGAGGCAACATCAAGGATCTAGCTAAGCTGGATGTCAAGGGCCTGGATGCCCTAATCATACCAGGTAGGATGGCACTAGGGTCTGCAAGTTCAAGGTTTTAGACTGAATGATCTCTAGAGTCCTGTCCAGCCTCAACTGTTCTATGATTTGGTGGAGGGGCTTAGGGTATGCCATAAGCCTTGAATGATATGGGCTTTGTGGCCTGGAGAACTGGATGGAACCACTGGGGAAGAGGATAGTCTGGAGGAAGGAAGAAATTGGAAGGAATGGCCCACTTCCATCTCTTCTGGACTTGTGTGTTTGCTTGGACTTGTGCTACAAGAGCACGTGGTAATATGGAAGCTCATTCCTAAAAGGAGAGAGCAGATAACTGTTGATTGACTTCTTATTCTTTGTACCATATACTTTGTTTGTCTCTACCTGATGCAAAGACATATCTACAGCATCCCCTCCTACACCAACCCACCTACCCCCTTACTAGGAGACGGAGAAGCTAGGACAAAGTGACACAAATGGAAAGTTTGATCACTCTGGCAGTTTGTCTTTGGGAGTATGGCCAAGTGACTCCAGTGTGCATGCTCCACCCCTGGAGCAAGAACTAAATGACAAGAAAAATCTGTAAGCAAGCTCCACCATAATTCTAGAGAGAATAGCTCATGGGTGACACAGGGGGTAATTAACAGAGAACTGATACCTCACCAGTTCAATTCTGATTAGAATCAATAAAGGAGCTTTGGAGACTTCAGGTCAGGAGCTGAAAAATATGCAGAGGCTTGCAGAAATGTAGCTTGTATATTTTAGCGCTTTTGTCAACACTGGACAAAAGCTTCTATGCAAATCCATTTCACACCAAATCCATTCTAGCATTCTACTGGGTCAGTTCTCACATAAAAACTCTGCTTTTGAGCAGTAAGCTTCCTGTCTAATCCATTTGCATTTTCTCAGGTGGTTTTGGAGTGGCTAAAAACCTGAGTACTTGGGCCACCCAAGGGAAGAACTGCATCATCTCCAAAGAGGTGGAGGATGTACTGAAGGCCTTCCATGCTGCCAAAAAACCCATTGGCTTGTGCTGCATTTCCCCAGTACTGGCAGCCAAAATCTTCCCAGGCTGTGAGCTGACTGTGGGGCATGACACAGAATGTGAGAAGTGAGTAATTGCGAATACAAAGAGGTGATACAAAATCAGCTCTTGAACACTGCATGATCACATCCCTCCCCAGTGTATGCAGGACCCCATCTCTTCAGTCCCAGGGTAGTCCACTCTTAACAAGACCAGATGGGTCTTGTTAAGTTAAGCAGATGCTGGGCAGCAGCATGGTTGCACAACACTCAGTAGTGTTATGAGAAGGAGGAGCTTAAACCGCCTTACTCATCCACGAAAAACTAAAGTTTTGCATCAGGGTCTTATATTGGCTTTGCATAGGATTTGTAATTTAAATTCACTGTAATCTGAAGGTTTTCCTGTTTAGTTCTATAGCCCCTGAGCAAATCCTCTGACCAAAAAAAAAAAAAAAAAAAGGATCCCATTGATCTGGCTTTCTGTAGGGACCACTGACTTCTTTGTGGCAGCTTTGAAGCTGTTGCCAAGAGGTGCTCAAGGGCTTTTCACTCCATGACTTTGTCAGATCTTTCTCTGCAATGACAGTTTTTCCTCTAAGTGTCTACTCTCTTATTCTTGTAGATGGCCTTATGCAAAGACAGCCGAGGCCATGAAGGAACTCGGCTGCAAGCATGTGAACAAACACGTCACTGAGATTCATGTGGACATGAAGAACAAGCTGGTGACCACCAGTGCCTTCATGTGCAATGCCCCCATTCATGAGATCTATGATGGTATTGGAAAAATGGTCAAAGAAGTGGTCAGACTTGCCTGAATGCCACAAAGCTGAAGGATCCAACTCTTCTGGAGTGTAGGCACTGAGCATAAAATAATGTCTTTTCCCCTTTACACCCACAAGTCAATAGGAAAATTGCTACTCAAATGGAGTAGCAGACTCCCCAACTGCGCCACTGCTGGCTGCTAAGGAGGGAGAGCATTGGAGCAATGCAGGCATTGATGTGTCTTGCCAAGGTCACACCACTTAAACTGGCTATAAAATGGCAGTAAGTGGACTGGCAATGTGCATGGAGCTGGCATGCAGATGCCAGGTCTCCACAGGGCTGAGATGCAGCCATTGCCTTTGGTTGTGAGGAGCAGGTTTGGTGCCCGGGTCAATTCAGTCATGCCTGGGCTGACCTGACATAACGCGTATCAAGGGGCAAACGCCCATTTGCACGTAAGATACTTTCAAATCTGTCTTTGCTGATTGCAAGCTCCCCAAGCACTACCACCTCACAGAATGAGGTATTATGGCCAAAGGAAGAAACATGATTCTGCTACTGAATAAAAGTAGACACTTGAATTCTCCTTAACTGCATGACATGCTTTTATCTTTGTATTGTACGCTGTGGTAGGAGGTGCTCTTAGTGCTAGTGGTTGACCAGTGAGTGGGGAGAATGGTATGGATGCAAACCACACTTGCTTTGCTTGGAGGTGTCAGAACTCAAACGTGGGCGTAAATATGGAATCTGATAGCGAAAAGGGAAAGTAGATATTCTGGACTGATTTTTCTTTTCCTCCATGCTGAAGGGAATAACCAAACCACCACTAGCAGTGTTGAGTAACGAGCGTGGTTAAACACTAGAGCGGGTTGCCTGGAGAGGGTGTGAAGTCTCAATCCTTGGAGATATTCAAAACCCAACTTGATATGGTCTGGGGTAATCAGCTGTAGCTCGCCCTTACTGAGTAGGGGGTTGGACAAGATAATCTTAATGGGCTGCCTTCCCATCTCAACTACTCTGCATTCTGTAGCTGAAAGGTTAAAACACAGATTGTGTTAACAGAAGACCTATTATGATAGAATGGAGTATTTAGAAAGCAGCCATCCATACTACCCCTCAAGTGCTTACTGGCACAAAAATCCTTTTGATTGTTCTCTTGCAGGAGTTCAGAAGAGGTAGAGAAGTTTCTGACATCAGTACTAACTTCAGAGGGTTATACTGGGTTTTGTGAGCATAAAGAGCATTTTGACTAATTTACCAGGCTGAAAAGCAGCAGTATGTAACAATAAGAGGAAGAATTTCAGTCACTTGTGGAGAATTTGGACCAATCTCAGAGAATCAACTCACACAGACACAGAGCTAGTAACAGCACCATTTATTGGCATGTGAAAAACTGTTTGCAATAGTGGGGCACAAAACTTGACCCCAGAGATAAAAATATTAATAATATCTTGCCTTGAAAAGACAATCAACTGAGTAAACTCCACAAAAGCTAAGGAAGTTGGAGAAATGTGACATTTCTCTCAGCTGTTTACAACAGGAGAAGAAAAAAGCCTCACAGTTATGGGTCAGTCAAGAGTGAGGATCTGCAGGAACTCGTGTTTATTCACTAGTCCATCTCCATCCAAATCTGCTTCATCAATCATTTCCTAGGGGAGAGCAAAGATTCGAAGACCAGATTAGGTGGGCTCTGAGAGGGTGGAGACCCAGAAAGCCTGAACACCTCTTAAAGTCTCAAGCAAGGCTTCAGTTTAATCCCAAGTGAGGCAGAGCCTTCCCTCCCTGAGCAGAGCATAGGAGGAATGTGCTTGTACTTCACAAACCTGCAGTTCCTCATCTGTGATGTCCTCCCCAATCTCGATAGCCACCAGCTTGAGTTTCTCAAAGGAGATCTTCCCAGTGCCATCACGATCAAATAGCTTGAAAGCTTTCAGGATCTCCTCTTTTGAACATTTCTCTGCCTTAGCAAGGAAATGGAAAATACCACCATGCAAGGATGACATTGTTTCACTCTACATTCCCCCCTTGAGCACTTTAGACAGCAAACATTTGGAATTGAATCCAAGCCAACATCTGGGGAAAAGCATAGCCATAGCAGAGAGTTATTTACCACTGCTATTTTACATTTACTTCCCCCCCCCCCCCCCGTTATTACATATTAAAGGAAAAGCTCCCAGAAAAGCTGTTTGAAGAGCATGGGAACTTGGCTGGGAATATCCTGACCATGCCTCGTCAGGAAAAGAGGGATTAGTAGAACTACTGGAGGAAGAAGCAGTTGCCAAAATGACCCCATGGCTGCAGCAATATTTCACTTCAGAAGGGAGCCTGCCTGTGCTCCAGCCCTTACTCTTCTTGTTCCCAGGCAATGCATCCAGAAGTTTGGGTGCGGGCTTTGCTGGGGTCCAGAGCATTACTGGGGGGATGCTTGGATGTACACTTACATCTTAGCATGGGTCCACAGTCCAGTAACTATGACAGCAGTGACAAGGGAATAGCCACACCAGATATGGCCCAGTTACCCCCTGCACACCCTACAGAACCTTACTATGAAACCACAAGGATGACAGAGGCAGGACCAGGCAAGCTGGTGCTCTTCTAAAATGGCCTTTGTCAACATGCAGTCATGACTAGAAGCTACAGAGAGGTGTAGAATCTCAGAACTGGGGATTTGGATGAGGAAACATGAATCAGAAAGCTGATACGAAACAGCACTCCTAGAACACTCCACAAACTTGAGTGGCTGTTGTTTGCAGGAAGTGCTGACTGTCAGCGGGTTGTGAGGAATGATTTCTCTGCGGATCGTGATTGTTCATCTGACACACGACATTTGTTGACCACTGTTTTAACAAAAAAAGAAAACCTTGCAACTACAGGCACAGTACTGAAATTTCCTGTGTAAAGGTTTAAGGAAGGGAAGGGGACAGCACCAATTCACACAATATATTGGCCTTTGCAGTAATTTCACTGCTAAAAGATGGATCCTTTCCTGGGTTGTTCCAAGTCCTCCAGCTTCCCAGTGAGGATGCCAGGTGCTCTGTGTGCTCACTACACTCCAGAATGGGGAGGAGCTGTGTGCTGAAATGCTGCTGTGCTCTAGCTGAGCCAGCCATTCTGCTCCCTGTACAGTCCAATTAAACAGACAGGAGGGCTAAACATCCTCGGGGAGATAGCTAAAATAGATTAGGTAAAACAGAAAAATTCCTCTTTCTCCCCTGCAGGGAGCCAGGGTGACCCAAGCTATTTTGGGTATCTGCACTTTGAAGTGGGGCATGGGAATCTCAGTTTTAGTGACCAGACAGGTTCACATACCATTTTCTGAGCCATCACCTTCAAAAATGACTCAAAGTTTATCTTCCCTGACCCATCCTCATCAATTTCAGAGATAATTTTCTTCATCTCTTCTCTCCTGAGTTCACAGCCTAGAGCTGTCAGGGGTATCTGCCAAAAGAGAAAACAAACTAATGCTTGTCTTGGCGGACAAATCAGACAGCAGCAAAAAGGGCAAGATGCCTGAAACAACTAGATACATGAAAGCAGAGGGGAAGTACCAGAACACTTTGCTACATTGGAAATTACATGCAAAGATAAGACCGCAGCCTGCCAACACATAGATAATGGAGAAAATCCCATTCCTATCTGCTCCTTACAGTGCATTTCAGCAGGGGAGTATCTTTCCCTGCCTGAAAATTAAAAATTATTTATTTTAAAGGGCCCAAAGGCTGGCAAATGCTTAATAGCTTAATTGCCTTCAGATCCTTCACGTCGATTTGTCCCGAGCCGTCGGGATCGAGCAAGTCGAAGGCGTCACGCAACTGCTGCTTCTGCTCCTCGCTGAGTGGGAAGGCGGGCGGGGATCTCTTTCCCCGGAGCCGCCCCGCCGCCGCCGAGGCTTGTTGCTGCGGGACAAACAGCGGGGCTCGCAGGGGGACCAGGGCCGACCCCGGCTCAAGGCGGGGGGAATGGCCGGGGGGCCGAGGCACGACGAGCCCCGCCGCGGCTCTCACCATCCCGCCGCTCCGCCGCGCTGTGGTAACTACGCCTCTCATTGGCCAGCGCTCCTGCTCCTCAGGGGAAGATGCAAGCCGATTGGCCGAGGCGCTCACTCCCGCCCCTCCCCGAACTGCAGCCGTTGCCGCCCCGCGGGCAGGGCGCTCCTCCGCCTGAGGCGACCGCGGCCTCGTCTGTCCGCGCGCAGCGCGCCAGAGAATGACTTTTTTTTTTGTAATATATAAGTTTTGCCACACGGGGGCACAACACATCGCAAGAATTTTTTTTCTACCCCACGGTGTTTCTTCTCAGTTGCACACAGTGCCAAAGCAAACACAAGGGATTTATTTTCTTTCTAAAAAAAAGGGAAAAGGGCTTTAATTGATTTTGGCCTATACCATTGTAGTATTCACTTATTATTTTTGATGTTGAGCTTAATCTTTTACTTTTCCCATGTTCTCAAGTTGTGGATGTAAGCTAATCATTCGTGGCAGCACCTGAAAAAGGCAGATACTAACTCTGAAAAGCAAAGGAACAGATTAGATTTCTGAGTCACAGAAAGGCTGGAATTGCTGGAAAGGAAGAATCTCTCTTTCCTTTGCCTGAGAGAAAGGCATGAGAGTTAGAGAGGTGGCATGGCCCTTTCCTTGGAGGTATCAATTACACACTTACCTCAGATATCCTGTCTCTGAAGTGGCAGCTATCCTGTAGCCCCTGCTTCTGTAGTGAAACACTTTAGAAGCAGAGCCCTTGCAAAGTCTATTTAAAAGCTGAAACTTGTTTAAAAAAAATCTGGAAGAATTGTTTTGTTTGCCAGCAAATCAGAGTGAATGCTGCACCTGCTGAGTTGTTTGTATTTTTTATACATCTTTCGACAACTCCGATGGCTTAAAATAAGAAACTTTATTTTAAATACAAGACTACATTTGAAGCCACTGAATAATCCCCCAAACAGAACTTTAATAATCTGAACTGTTTTTTTTTTTTTTTCAGAAATTTCTTCAAACTTCTGAGTTGAATAGCAATAAATTAATTTGTACCAGATTATCTACTTACTTTTTTTTTTAAGAACATATTAAAAAAGGGAAAGGGAATAACCTCCATAAAACAGAGTAAAAAAAGCCGATCCGTGCAAATACATCATACAAAGATTTCACTGTAGCTGAGTCCATACCAAAGGCATTAGACAAAAACACCACTTCAACTGGCGGGAAAACATAGATTTACACTATTTGGTTTTCAGACCTCTCTTAACCAAACCATATGCATTTGACACATGGTTTTTAGTCATATAAGAATCTGAATGCTGTCACTGAAAATGTGATTTGTGTATCTACATAACAGTGTAAAATCTTAGAAGCACAAACAAGCAAAAATATTTCTAAATGTAAACAGTTTAGCAGTTAGTAACTGTACAAAGACATGAATTTAATACAAGAGACTTCAAAATAAACTGACCCAACTTATTTGTTGTCTCAAAAGAAATAAAAGACTGGAGAGAAAGTGAGACACCTACCAAAAGTATACGCACAAATAAATAAAACTGAGCTTCAGTAAAGGCTGGTCTTCTTCATGATCCGCAGGAATTCTTGCTCATTCACTTCCCCATCCCCATCTCTATCTGCTTCATCAATCATTTCCTGAAAGACATTTGTATTCAGAAATTAGGTTAGATCCACTCATATGGGAAGGGAAAACAGATTTAGTTCAATGTGAGACCTACTAGGTAACAAAGAATTTACTAAATCAAATATTAATATGCTCATATAAAAATAAACATGCATACCTATATAAGGGATACTTTCCTACCAGCTCAAGCATAAGGATCCTTTTGGATGGTATAGGACCATAGCACCTAAAACAGACTGTTGCCTTTACCTAAAAGCTCATCGACCCCGAAATGGCTTCCTTTCCTCCCGCTAAAACACAAATTCCCATTCCTTATTTTCACTAGCTCTAAGACTTGGTAAACCTGTCAGAAAGATGGTTCAGCCCTCTAAAGAGAAGAAAGATTAGATTCAGTGACTATTTATAAAGATTTTAGAATAATGCAAATATGAAAGCAAGTAATACATGAATATTCAGTGTCTGCTATACACAGAGGCAGCCACTATGTGTTCATGCATGATATGATTTCATATGTATGTTACCCCAGGTACAAACCTGAAGCTCTTCATCGGTGAGATTTTCCCCCAGTTCTTTGGCTACGCGTTTGAGGTTTTTGAAAGAGATCTTGCCCGTTTCATCATCATCAAAGAGTTTGAAAGCTTTGAGAATCTCCTCTTTGGAATCTTTTTCAGCCTTAAAGAAGTAACCAGAGGTTTTGGAGGAGAGGAGTGGAAAATGGTTATCTTATAGGTAACACTCAAAATAAAGGCTGCAGCTACAAAATACTAACATCAAGGAAACAACAACAACTAAACAAAAAATCCAGACACACAAATTCACTTAAGAGTAGATTCAAAGGAGCCCAGTAACCAGGAAGCATACATGTAAACACTGAGTAAAACAGAGAGCCTTTCAGTACTCTTGCCTTTACACACACACAAAAGCAGTTGTTAAAGATGCTTATTAATTATATGATGCTTTCAACCTTAAGATAAAAAGTATGATGGGGTGGCTGTCATCTAGCAGTTAGTAACTTTTACATATTTTGTTATTAAGACAGTGTCTTTAGCTACCAGTAAACCCAAGGGAATTAAATCAATTTTGAAAATTGCCAAGGACCTTTCCCTTTGACTTTCAAGATTTACATACCATTTTCTGTGTCATCACTGCCAAGAAGTCATTGAAGCTGATTTTTCCTGTTCCTTCCTTGTCAATATCTGATATCATTTTCTTGATCTCTTCTTTTTTTGGTTCAAACCCTAGTGCTCTCATGGCTACCTGCAAGAAAAAAGAAATTAGAAACAATGTAGAATTGTCTTGTAATTGTCAGAACTGGCAAGAATATGGCAGATAAAGCTATTTACCAGAGAGAAAAGATTTTTGTACGGAAGTCTTGATTCTTTCATGAAGTCTTAGTAGGCCATTTTGTTATATACATTTTTAATTCCTCTGCTACGTATTTGTAGCATAAATGAATCCTGCTTCCATTAATATTTTGAAGGAAAAAAAAATCAACAACAACAACAAAAAAAACCAAAATACTGTTGCCCAATACCAGCACAGTGCTCCAGATGACAGCATTTTGTAAAACTAAAGTAAAATAGAAAATTATGCCTTTCCTGAATTCCTGTTGGTATTCCCTTTGAAATGAGAAACAAGATACATTGCTCCAACCAGCATATCCAAGGATGTCTCCACCTGTGCACACCCACATGCTTTATTCTTTCCTTCTCTGAAAAAGAGCCAACTAACCACGTAAAAATCACATATCCCCTTCTCTGTTGCCTTAAGTAATATGTGCGCCCAACTTGCCAAGAGGAAGGGCAATTCTGAGAGCAAGAGAGTCCTAATTTATCAATTGTCCTTGTTCCCAAATCAGGGGGGTGAGGAGGCAAAGAAGACCTAGACCCATGAAAAGTAAGTGTATTGGGGCATTCTACCACTTGGATAATCCTAAACTATGCAGTCCTAGGCAACAATTAGCAGGAAAAAAGAAAAAAGTCTTTCCTTTTTTTTTTTTTCTTTTTTTTCTTAATATGCACAAAAATTCTGATTTTGCTAATGTGGAAGAAGATAAAGGTGGAATACACAGAACAGCGTGTTTTTGCCGGCCTGTTTCCAGGGCGGCTTCCTTGCCTTCAGCTCCTTCACGTCTATGTTGCCGGTGCCATCTGCGTCAAAGAGATCGAAGGCCTCACGGATCTCCTGCTTCTGCTCCTCGGTGAGCTCCAGCTTGGCGCTGGCCTTCTTCCTCGGCGCCGCGCCGCCCAACGAGGCTTTCTTAAAGCTGGAGGCCTGGGCACGAGAGCAAAGCGGGGTCAGCGCGCCGCGGAGCCGCCGCCGCCCCTCGCTCCCGCCCGCGCCGCACTCACCATCCCGGCGCCGCCAGGGAAGCTCCGCTCCAACCCCTGTCAATGCGGCCCTTCGCCATTGGTCAGAGTCGCTACGCCGTCGCTATGGCAACCCGCGCTGCCATTGGTGGAAAGCTGAAGGCGGGAGGCGCTTGGGTGATGGCTATTGGACCTGCACGTGGCCGGGGCGGATCCAAAGGGGCGGGAGCGCTCCGCCTCCTTTGCGGCGATTGGTCCAAGTGGGGAGGCTGGGGCCAATCAGCGCGCCACAGCCTGCTGGCGCGATGCTGGGCCCAGGAGCGCGGGAGGAGCAGGGGCTGCGGGGCCCGGGGAGAGGGCGGGGCCGACCGGAAAGCTCGGCGCTGATTGGTGGTGGCAGGGGGACCTTATCGTTCCCTACGGCTACCTGAGGGGAGGTTGTCGTGAGGCGTGTTTGGTCTCTTCCCCCAAATAACTACCTAGGGCAAGAGGAAAGGGCCTCGAGTTGAGGCAGGGGAGGTTCAGGTTAGATATTAGAAAAAAGTCTACATGCAAAGAATAGTCAGGGCTGCCCAGGGAGGTGGTGGAGGCACCATCCCTGGCAGTGCTCAAGAGACAGGTAGAGGTGGCATTTAGGGACACAGCTTAACAGGCCTGGTGTTGAAGGGTTTATGGTTGAACTCAGCAACCTGGAAGGTCTTTTCCAACCATAGTGATTCTAAGCACGAGGCAGTGGTAATTTTATGGCAATGTTGCCCTTTGCACTCACCTGGCTCCCCTCCTGCTGTGTTGGCAGGGGTGTTCACAGCCTCGGGAGATGAGAGGGTCAGGGATCTGCTCCAGCTGAGGACCAAGTTGGGGAGAAAATGATTATTTTTCAACAAGTTGTATCCTTGATTGGCCTCAATACATGAATATGAGGAGATGGTGGGCATATCTGACTAGGAAGGCAGTTGGAATCGTCTTTTAAAAACAGTAGTTGGTCCTATTGTTGTTTCTAAATGACTATAGAACTATGGGAAGCTTCTGTGTAGGTTTCGTGTGTGTGTGTGTTTTAGAACATCCCTGTTTGGATCTGCTTAAACTTTTCTGTTTTTACATTTTTTACCATACTGTAGGATCCTGGCTGAGTTGGGAATTTTGTTCATTACTCCTGGAAGGAAGAATACATTTCAATGAAACTTTGGTGGCACCAACAACGTGTGGTGTGATAACTTGGAAAGTCTCAGCGCTGGTTCCCATCTCTCTGCTGCCAAGTATCAGTGAGTAGCTGAGGTTTTTTTTGCTTGCTGGGTGTGTACTGCAGGTGCTGAAGTGCTTGAAATTCATTTTATTTCATTTTCTAACATCCCTCAGCAATTATATTCTTGGAGAGAGGATTGCCAAAAGTTAGAATAATCTTTGTAGGTTTTTTTGGAGTATAAAGATTTGAGCCTAAAGGAAGCATGAAGCTAATATTAGCTAAAACAAAATGGTATTTTATTTTTAAAACTGTGGTTTTGAGGACACTATTCAGTGTTGCAGTTTTTGCTCTGATG